CTGTCTGGATATACACTCTGTATATTCCGGAATAGTAATAAGAAGTATATTTGCAGAATGTACACAAAATGAATATTCCGGAATATTCGTAAAAGGTATATTTTCTGGATATACACAAAATGTATATTACTGATTGTTCATAAGTTACATGTTTGTAGGATATAAGCAAATTGCAAGTTTTGAAAAGTTCACAAGAGGTATGTTTTTAGGATGTACACACTCTGAATATTCCGGAATAGTCACAAGATGTATATTTGCAGGATGTACACGAAATGCATATTCAGGAATATTCGTAAATGGTATATTTTCTGGATATACACGAAATGCATATTCAGGAATATTCGTAAAAGGTATATTTTCAGGATATACACAAAATGTACATTACTGATTCTTAATAAGTTACATGTTTGTAGGATGTACACACTCTGAATATTCCGGAATAGTCATAAGATGTATATTTGTAGGATGTACACTAAATGCATATTCAGAAATATTCATGAGTGGTATATTCGTAGAATGTTCACAAAACGTATGTACCTCTAGGTAGGTACATAATATGTCTGTTTAATGTATATACATTAATGTATGTGTTATGTATATTCTAAGTACATACACCAGGACATGTCCACTAGCAGAACCTCTGAGGTATATACATAGGATATCAAATGCTATCTGGGAAATAAAGAAAATTTTGAAGAGATAAGATTTTTTTTAAAAAAACCCCGGAATTGTTTTAAAAATATAATCGGAGGACCTTTTTTATAGATCTCCACACAAAAAAAAAACCTGATTTAATAAAAATCTTTTTAACGTGATCCCCAGTGATCACCGTTGTCCCGCTTTTCCATTTCCTAAATCTGGCCTACCACCGAGTGATCGATTAATGTTATTTCCATATACGTTAATAAAACTAAGTACTTCAATATTTCAGGGCCAGTCCAACACTGTTTTTACCATACGTCTCTTATCAGATTTTAAAATCCACTCCTGGGTCAAAGAAGGGTTTTTAACTGGAAATCGAAATAACCGTAGTGTCGGATCTCTATACGGTGTCAATCCACAATTGAAATAAACACACTTATTTCCAGACATCTGTCAAAAAAAAAAAATGTATTTTAATATAGGTACTATAAGGCATTATTTTTTCCTATAGGAATTACATCTGGAAAAAATATTTATGCAATGTAAATATTAAAGAAAAAAAAATGATGAAATTAGGCAATTTTATCATACACCTAGCAAACCAAATTCTTGTTAGAACCTAATAATAGCGTCCCAATAAAATATACTTATGTAGGTATATCCTGATCGCACAAACTAAAACTTACACCTATTTAATAATTAAAGAAAACAACAGAAGCACACCGTAAATATTGCAACTTGCAACAAAATCAAATGCACCAAATACACAAAATGGAATAAAAATGGCAACGTTTAAGTTGTTTAGTTGTAACACATCGCCATCTATGTTGAATTGTCATAAGTATTCGAGTCTCGGAAAGAATTGCCACTCAAACAGAGTATCCATCTGGTGGTGGTCTCTTTTCAACTTCAAACAAATATTAGCATTGGACTGACCTACTAGTTATATTTATACAATGATAATACTGTATTGAATCATTCATAACAAAAATTATACCTGGATTTTCGTGCTAAATATTGGTTTTTGCCATTTTAATAATTATGTTTATCAGCGGAATCGCGCCATGTAATGATTTATTATTTTGTTGAATTATAATAATATATTGAATAATTCACACTAAAAATTATACCTAGATGTTCATGCTAAATACTGGTTTTTATCATTTTGATAAAGTAAGGTTTAACCGCGAAATCGCACCATTTTAAAGACCTAAAAACGTATTTGGAGGTCTTGCTATGTAACGATTTATTATTTTTTTGAATTAAAATAATGTATTGAATCATTTATTTTAAAAATTATACCTGGATTTTTGTACTAAGTATTGGTTTTTATCATTTTGATAAAGTAAAGTTTATCCGCGTAATCGCTCTATTTTAAAGACCTAAAAACGTATTTGGAGGTCTTGCTATGTAATGATTTATTAAGTTTTTGAATGATAATAAACCGCGTATTTTTAAAGACCTAAAAAATGTAATTAGAGGTGCTATTTGATAATTTATTATTTTTTTATTGATACTTGTTTATTGAATCTTTGGTATAAAAATTGAGTTTGGAATCTCGTGTTAAATGTTTGGTTTTGTTGATTTTATTGAATAATATTTATTCGCGGAAACGCTTGACTTTGTAGATCTAAAAACTATATTTAGATGTCTTGCTATTTAATGATTTTTTATTTATTTTATAGCTAGTGGTGTACTAAATTATTGGTATAAAAATTGTATTTGTAATCTCGTGCTAAATGTGTTTTTTTGGTCTCTTTGTTCTTATAGTCGTTTAACGACAAAACACCTGACTTTAAAAAGACCAAAAAAATATATATTAAATCATTACTCGGCCTTAATTTTTTGTTTAATGAATTAACAAAAACCTAATGTATATGTATATTTGGTATAAAAATTATATTTATAATCGCATTGTATTATTTTAACTAATAATTCAAATTAAATTAATCCATTTTTTTCAATAAATACTCTAATTTTTATTTATTTCTAAACTTTCATGATACTAAAGTCCACCTAAACCAAAGATTTTGCCGAATAACAATATCAAAACATTAAGGGACCGTCGCACGGTTTGTCTGCTAGCTTCATCCTCATATATTTTATATCCATTTTATATAGTGAGAAAACTGCAAAAAAATGAAATCACCAATCACAGTTCATATTTTCGTCACCTTAAGACTTATTTTTAAAATTTTAAATAAGTGACAATTCTGTCAAACTAATTGTCAGTACATTTTTTTAGTTATCGAACTTAAATATACATTAAAATACTTATTTTTGTGTAGAATCGATATAATGGCATTTCTATTTTTGTTTATACTAATTATAAATAATTTGTTAATTTTAATAAAACTCTATGAAGTCAATTCAATTACGAGTCTCGGCTGGGGACTTTTTAATTAAATCTTTTTTTTTTGTTTATTTTATTTTAAAAATTATTAAAAGTCATAAATTATTTTAAAATTAGTTATTTTGTCTTAATAACCTAAAATATTTTTTTAATTTAGATTTAGATTAGGACGGTGTGTTTTAGCCTGCAGGCCATATCGAAGCATGTAGGGCTTCTATTAGTTTCCAAAGCAACTAAATAGCCAAGTCAACTTAATACTTTCTGTTTTGCTGGTGTCTTGTCAAAGAAAAAAAAATAAGCCATTGTTAAAAGTTAAAAAATATACTTACTTTATTTTAAACACAATTTACTGTGAAATTTTCTTACCGAATACCACACGTACCTAAATTATTATTAGTGGTATTATAAGTGAAAAAATTAAAACTGAATGGTTCATCGAAATCATTTTTTTTTTATTTTTCACAATGCATAGAGCTTCCATTTAAAATTTAAAGTAGGTACGGCCATTCTTCCACTTTTGTATATTTTCACTAGTTCGCCTTTATTTTTTATTGAATGGTCTTAGGCCAAAGCGGAAAAAACATTTCCTACCAATTTCACTGTCAACAATATTATCATCAATAAATGTCTTTCTTTTAGAGATCTTGGTGTTCTTTTCGACGCTAAGTTTATTGAACATGTCAATACTATGCAAAAAGAAGCATACAGAAATTTGGGTTTTGTCATTCGAAATGGACGCCAGTTCTCTGAACCTAACACTTTAAAAACTATTTTTAACGCTTTTGTACGTAGTAAGCTAGAATATGCGTCCATTGTTTGGAGTCCTGGATATGAAGTACATAGCCATATTTGTGGTGCAAGCTAGATGGCGTCTACCCTACTCGCAATATTCCGCAAATCATCTTGCTGAATAGATTTGATATCCTTAAATTACGTACCCGCAGGAAATGTTATTCCATCTGCATTCTTTACAAATTATTAAATTTTAAAATTGACTGTCCCGAACTACTTCGTTAACTAATGTTTAATGTTCCTAGTATCAGAACTCGCTCCCTTTTGTATTTCTATTTTCAGACACCCAGGACAAATATTTTAAAGTTTTCTCCAATGTATTTTATGTATCAAAATTTTTGTGAACTTCAAAATAATGTTGATTTATTCTCTATTTCAATTAAAGAAATAAAACGCTTAATTGTGGACTAAGTTAATTATCATAAGACAACGTAATTTTTTCTCCTAACGGAGTTTTTTTTGCGTTTTCTTATGATGGTTAAAAACGTTTGTTAAACTATTTTTTGTTTACATATATTTATGCTATTATTAGTATTTAATATTTTGTTATTATTTTTATGATGTAAATTATACTGTAATTGTAATTATTTTTGTGCCCATCCTGTAATTGGTTTTATACTGTTGGATGGTGTAACCCAAATAAATAAATAAATAAATAAATAAATAAATAAATAAATAAATAAATTATATTTATATTTAATTAGCCGAAATATCCTCAACATCGTGATACAAATGATTTGCTGTAGTATAGTGTATACGTTACATATCTAGTATTTATAAGTCGAATGTTTTAATAAATGTTTCTGAATGAATTAGTTAAAGAGGAAAGACATCCTTCCAAGGTCTGCTACGACAATGGAACAATTAGGCAACATTTACATTTTAGTCGGAAAATCCTTCTGAGGGCTCTCAAGAATTTAATTAGAAACACAGAAATCTGAAGTCTGGTTGTCCGTTGCAAATCGATCGAGTTATTGAGAAGCCGAGAATCGAAACTTTGAGTTATCTCCAGCTTAAAATTCAAAACAATACAGCATAATCAGACGATTTTTTTTAAATACAGGGTCTGCCTCATTCCAGTTCCAGATATATTTTGCGAAATAATCAGTTTACAAAAGATTATGTTTTCCTTTTTGCCACTTTTTTGACCAAAATAAATTACCTTACTTATTCCGTTTCTTTTCTAATAAGACCTTTATGTTTTTTTTTTTAGGTGAAAACCATAGAGATATACCACCTCGTCATTTCCATGAAGAACAAGACGGTCGAAGAGCCAGCTCAAGAGGTATCATTCCACGTGCCAAAATAAAGACTGTCAAAATGACGTTTGTCATTGTATTTGGTGAGAAATATTTCGTTTATATTTTGATAACAATAACACTAGCATATTACGCAACAAGAGAGAAAGATAATATTCAGTGCGTATCATAAATGTAATTTACCCCTCCCGTTTTAAATCGTATTTTTTTTGTAAAAAATAATTTCTGCTGATCTTGGAGGTTATTCCACAGATCCTTGGCGATTTTTGCATCATAAATAATAAGAACTCTTCTCATTTTTTTTATTTAAAAAATTTATTGAGATTTTTATACTTAAAAGCAAAGCACACCTGTAAAATGCACAATTAATATCTGACTTTTTTATATATTAATATAGAGCAGGACTGTCCAACTTCTAGTGGCTCAAGGGTCACTGTAAATAAAATTGTGGTCATGGGAGCAGCGCATCACAAAAGACTTCGTATATTTGAGTAAGGAGGTATAATCTGTCTGTAATCTGTAACGTGTCGAGGGTGGGTTACTTCAAGGCATTTAGGCCTCACTAGGCACATTGAGCATCCTCCCAAGATGATAGACACATCCTAGCTCATAAGCTATCCTAGAAATTTAATGTACTTGACAACGTCGCTAAGAGGTGCTTCTTTCTATCGGCCGGTATTAGCCGATACTCGTCGAACACAAATATTTTAATAAATGAGAGCATCAAGCAATTGTAGAGGATATGCTCGATGGTCTTATTTTCTTGTTCGCACCTCCTATAGAGTTCGGATTCTGACAGCCCCATGATACGGAGATGCTTCCGTACTTGGCAATAACCAGTCAGAATACCTGTGACTAGACGCAGATTCTGTCTATCCATAGTCAAGTATTTGTTTTCTGCAGTGTTATCAGGATAACTTAAAAAATTGACTAATGTCAGGCTAGAATAGTAAAAATTAGTATCTGGCTTTTTACTATTCTGCTATTACCTACACGACTAAGTAATACCGCCTGTAGTCAATTTTTTCCTTTTACATCATTGGAATATTTATGAGTCAGGCCAGACATTACCTTCTAACTTATAACTGTCTGCTACTGCGTATTTGGTAAAGCAATACTGTCTGTAATAGCTACCTTAATTTTTGATAATATGTATTCAGTTACTAATAGTATTTACTATTTAACTGAAACAGTTATTAGGAATTTTTTTTTCTTGATTGGTAGTAAATTTATATATTGTTATTAAATTTGAGTAATATTTTAATATGTTTAAACATTACCTTTTCCTAAAATTCAGTATTAAAATACCTAAGTTGACTTTGAATTATATTATCTAGCATTTCATGTTTTTTTCTTTATCTGGTTAAGTACCTCACTATTGTATATCTTAATTGATTTCGAACCAACTTTAAATTATATTTTAATACAAGTAGTAAAAGTTTGTATATCTTTATTCTTTTTTCAATTATAATTTGAGAATTTATGCTTTTAGCAATATCATTTGATACCTCTGTTTTCACTTTATATTGAAAATAATTTAGTTGAGTATTGCAAAATTTTATATTTGGGTTAACTTAACACCTAAATGGATAATAAAATTATGAAGTCAATTTATTGTAAAGTGAAAAGTTTTTAATAAAAAGAAAGTGAAAATTGACAAAACAAATACAATATATTAACCTCTGGGTCCTTCTAAATAAAGATAAGACGCTTAGTTATATTTTCACTTGAGAGAAACAAAGAGAGACTCTCGTGAATCGGCTAACTGCCAGGTGCAGGCGTGATTAGACAGATAGATACATCTCTAACATAATGTGTAGTAAGGGTGAAATAATTTGACTTACCATAACATATCCATTACGGATTATCATAAATATTAAAAAGTAAGAGGTTTACTACTTAAAATTATTTTATTATAAGTAATTTGACTGTTAGAACCCTTTTAATCCAACATGAAGAAACAATTCCTCTATCCCTCGTTTTTAAATCCAACAATTTAAATATTGTTGAGAAACAGTGATTCTCTTTTTTTAATGTTTAGGTTCCATGTTCAGATTATAAAAAGTAAGACATACATTGACATCTATGTAAGCAAAAAGATTGATGGTATTACAAAAAAAAATTGATAAGATGGCTTTTTGTAAGGTTAAGTAATAAACTTTTAAAATAAATTCAGTGTATAAATGGGGTAATAATGGGGGTAATACGTTTTATGCACACTGTACATATTTCACGTGTCAATATATCGGTTTTCATTTTCAGTATTCGTTGTTTGCTGGAGTCCGTACATAATATTCGATTTGCTTCAAGTGTACGGCCACATTCCCAAAACTCAGACCAATATCGCTATAGCGACACTCATTCAAAGTTTGGCACCCTTGAATTCGGCCGCCAATCCAGTCATCTATTGTCTCTTTTCGACGCACATATGCGGCAACTTGAGGTAAGTGACACAAAAAATTTTATACATATTTTTTTTTCACATCATATCGTACGGTATAGTCCATGGGCCCTGATTATTTCAGGAAAAACTAAAAACTACGCAGCTATGGTCCGATTACAACTGGGTTTAGTGGCGTGTTGTAATATAGGAATATAAGAATTATTTTTTAAAATCATATGTCTTATTCTTTAGTTTTTTTATAGTTATACAGGGTGTACCAATAAAAACTCCCAGGCCGGATATTTTGGTAAGTAATAGAGATATTTTAATTCTGCAAAAGCCAGTTCACAGAGCACAAAGATAACTTTAGATTCAGATATAAATTAATTTTAAATAGGTTAATATAGATGACGCTGCGCTCAATAATTTTTTTTTTTTGATGGGAGGATCTTTCTTATGTAGCGCATCTTGTAAAAATGCATTTTAAAGCAGATTTTGTTCTATGAACTAATTCGATAAATCTAGCCATTTTTGATATACAGAGTGGGTCACTCAGAACAGTTTCATCTGTTTTTCAGCATTAATCATTGGATTTTAAGAAAATGCCAAAAGATGTCGATTTTTATTCCAAATTTAAAACATTTTTACAATACAGACATCTGTCATGTATTAACCCCCTCTTGCCCTTCACAAACACCTTAATTTTAAATAGGTAATGTACCATGTATGGCACATCATTGAAAAGGTAATTTAATGGGGAATTTATAATTATGATTGTTTATTGCGATACTTTTAATTGTACCGCCCTTTATCGGGATAAAAAACTACGTATTATAAAGTGTGACACCTTATTTAAAATCAAATTTAATTACTAATTCAATGCACTACATAACATTAATATAAATATCCACCATATTGCACTTGCAAAATTAGTCATGCATTATTTTAAACATTATTATTGCTAACTTTATTTTGTTCCAAGTGCAATATGGAAATATTTACAATAATGATATGTGGTGCATTGAATTAGTAATTAAATAAGCTTTCAAATGAAGTGTCACAATTTATAATACGTTACAGGTTTTTATCCCAATAGAGGGCGCTAAAATTAAAAGTATCGCAATAAAAAATCATATTTTACTTCCCCACAAAATTACCTTTTTAATGATGTGTCGTAGATGGTATATTTCTTATTTAAAATTAAGGGGTTGGAGAAGTGGAAGGGAGGGGGTTGACACATGACAGATGTATGCATTGAGAAAATGTGTTTCATTTGGAATAAAAATCGACCTGTTTTAGAATTTTCTTAAAATCCAATGATTAATGCCGAAAAACAGAATGAAACTGTTTTAAGTAACCCACTCTGTATATTAAAAATGGCTAGATTTATCGAATTAGTTTATAGAATAAAATCTTCTTAAAAATGCATTTTTTACCAGATGCGCTATATAAGAAAGATCCTCCCATCGAAAAAAAAAAAAATATTGAGCCCAGCGCCATCTACATATTGACCTATTTAAAATTAATTTATAGCTAAAATTGAAGCTCTCTTAGCGCTCTATAAACTGGCTTTTACAGAATTAAAATATCTCTATTACGTACCAAAATATCTGGCTTGGGAGTTTTTATTGGTACACCCTGTATACAATGTAATATATTTTAAATATGAAATAACGGTTATAGCATAGCAATTTTCTTCTTATTGTAAACAGACTCTACCAGCAGATTTTGATCACCTGTCAAAAGTCGAAAATTATTCTTGATTGTAACAATTATAAGCCATATTCGAGCGGTCTCTTTCGTTTAAAAATATTTTCAAAAACTTTTAGAACCAGTTTTAATACTACGTCATAGATTTTGAAAGCGCTCAAATAGATGATTTTAAAACAGTGATGTCACTAACGGTTAAGGATTTGTGAGTGTGTAAATCTCTAGCGACAGAAAATGTTTTGCCTCAAAAGAAGCTCATATATTACCAGAGTTTTATGAAAAATGGATCGTTATATTTAGATTGCGACTTTAACCAGTTATTTTGAATTACAAGGTCAAGTTTTAAAAATTACTAAAAATTATAAACCTTCATAATTATGCATTTTCTATTTTTTCTTATAACCGTATTATAAAAAATCTTTTTTGATAATTAATTTTAATGCATGATCTTCGATACTATTTTTGACATTAATGACATTTCTATTTCCTTGAACCGTTCTCGATGAAACGTTTCAAAAACAGATGCAGCTGGTTTAAACTTATTTCAACGTGACGTCATTGTTTGGTCACTCGAATGGGAATAGTTCAAACCGTTTTCGAACCGCATGAAATATATTTAAACCAGTGGACCGCTCGAATATGGCTATAATAAGCGAATTAATGATTATACTATAAGAAAATAATGGAGAAGGTTGGTTATATGCGTGATCAACGCTTTTATTTCTGAATGAAAATTCCGACGAATCGTAACAGAGTCAGCATAGGCGGCGTATTAAATACCAAAAGGTATATTTATTTTGTCTCTAATACGAAAAATATAGAAAGATATTTTTTGTAATTTAAAAATATCTATTATAAACTTGGGCAAAAATATTTAGTTATTTAATCAATGTCAGGAAATACTAAAAATTAATTCAATAAAAAATTTAATAACTTTAAATTTAGAACAAAATAAAATTATAGAGGAATAAGTATTAAATGATTAAAAACAATAAAAAGTAAATAAAATAATAGTAAAATAAAATAGATAAAATACTTAATGCACGTATGAGATGGCGTACCTGAAATACAAGAAAAACAAGTATGAGCAATCAAGTTTACCAAAAGCAGTTATATATTAACGAAAGTTAGGTGATATTCATAAACAAAATACTTATTATCCTTTTAATTAACAAAAAAATTATACTCTTTATGTCAAAATATTAATTAAAAAAAATATAGTTGGCATAACTTTAAATTTTTCATGACTGACACAAAGTTATATTCTCTATCCTGTTGACACTGACCGCAATGCCCAAACTATCGATCGATATATAAATTAAGCCATTACTAGCACACTGACCGCAATGTCACTAGTCCGCACCAACTATGGCACGACGACTCTGGAAAACTGACCACAGTAATCCCAAAATAAACGCATACACTGACCGCAATGTACTACGATAGAGCAGACAATATGACTCACTTTATTTTTGATTACACCTCGTAGAGAAAAACAAAATATAAGTAAATAATCAAATAAGTTTTAATTATTTAATATAACCCCGTTAATTTAGGATATAAGGTTCTCTTAATACTTGACAAAATATCTTAACGTTACAATTAACAAATTAACTATAAAAGGTTGATGGATAATAATTGGGTAATATAATTTGCAAAATAACTTGATTAAAAATTAAAACAAAACTAATTGATAGAACATAATTACTCAGTGAGAAAAACTCGCCCTATTCAGCAAACAGCCACTCACAAAAATTATAATTATTCACTAGTTTATTATTATTGGAACGAACTTTAATTTTGTTATGCAAAGCAACTAACTCAAATTTTAAATGATGTGTATTCTATGCCTGCTTGATATTTTACCCTTAGTTTCCATATTCGTTATCCGATACCTCCGTATCTTAATAGTGTTAACATAAACATGTGGCTGTGACTGTTTTGGAAGACAAATATTTCGTGCGTTTAAAAACCAAGTGTTTTGTAAAATAAAACTAACTAAAATTTGTATAGAAAATAAAATCATTCTTACAAAAATAGCTTCCACGTGTTAAACTAATCTTTTATTAAAGAAAAAATATGAACATCTAAATAACGGTTAAATCTGTGTTTCGGGGTCACTTTTCCAATATTTGATATAGTTTTTTTTTTTCATAAAATTATTGAGAAAATCATTACAAAAGAAAAAATTTGGCAAGGTTGCTCTATAGGAACACAGATTTAACCTTTACCTACATGTATAAATTTTTTATTCCATTAAAAATAAACTTGTAAACAAACTTTAAAAATAACTATAACAGTGCTATTATAGGAGAAAGAGTATATTAATTATAAATTTAAAATTCAGTGAAATAAAAATAAAATAACGCGATAGGCCAACGATGCTGATAGTTGTTGAGCCATCATCATGAGAAATTAATATTATTTATGACTTCGTTATCTGTGTTTAATGGTGTTAATATAAACATATATCCTTATCCATTAAAAATATTTCATCTCCGTTCTTGGGAATTTCGTTATTACATTCGTATTAGTTAGAAACACATAAAGTCCATCCATGTGTGGATAACTTACAAGGGTTAAAAACGCCAAGTCAGTCTTCAACAGAAAGTAAAATTTTACAAGATTATAGCTTAATATTTGAAGACAATGACAAACACATGTATTTCAAGTAAATAAACAACAGACGGGTTACAGTTTGGATATTGTCAGCACTCGCAGAAAGAGTTGAAAACTAACATTCGACGAAGTTAAGGCTCATCTACACATACTAGTGTACTCGACCGAGTACTCTACTAGCAAGCCACTAGCATTCAAATAATATGTGTGAACCATCACTGGTGCTAGTGCAACTGGCTTGCTTGCGAGTGCACTTGGACACATCTCTACTTTTTCATGCTAGTAAAGAAAGGGGGACTTAATGGCACCAGTGTACTGGCAAATATAAACATCTACTAGCACGTTTCTTGTTTACGTTTCAGGTGTTTTGCAAGTGGTGTTGTAATAATACTCGAAGAGGATTCCTATAAGCGGAAATATCTGCAGCTCTCAGTTCCTGCAGAAGGGCACTCACACTTTATTTCTTCTACCGTTTGGCTTCTGTTCACTCAATATTACAACCCCCAATATATCCTCTAAGTCGTCAATTGAAACCGTTGTTAAGTTGTCTATACAACCTGATTACTCATATTATTAATTTGTTTTCAAATGAATACCCTTGCCTTGTATTGGCTTCTGAAATCGATCTAGCTACATTCAAAGAATCATAACTCAACTAAACTCGCATGCAAAAAAGCATGACAGTAAACTATCATGTGTAATAACGAAATCTCCTGCTAGTGATAAGCGCG